AATCATAATTATCTCTAGACAACAAAATAGCAAAAAATTTTTTTTTAAAATATTGAATTTACCTATTTGTTTAAAGCAATTTAATAAACGAATTACGTAAAAATTCATATCCTATGTTAATAACTGCCATTGTTTAATGTGAAAACAGAGATAGCTGAATATCAATTGGAAAAAAAATGTTATCAACCATTTTTAGATATTCCATTTGGCAATAGTTATAAAAAATCCTAATTAACAAATTAAATTAAGACTAGGAACAAATGATTCGACGTTTTCAAATCATTCCTTGGCATGCAACCACAAGTTTTCGAATCTAAACGATACGGAAATTCTACACTATGCAAGGAAGGGTTGCAAACTCAATTATTTAGAATCCTTGAATACTAGAGTATCAACAATACCTTTATAGATTTCCTTGAATCTTAACAACCCATCATGATTTTCAATCCAACAGGTCTCGCATATTGCCGCAAGGTTTTTCCATTATGTTTCGAGGAAGTATTTCTCAATATTCTCTTTCAAGCACTTGTTTGGTTTTGCCGAGGAATTGATGAAATTTGCAACGGATTTTATAATTCCAATAGTATTTCGAATAGGCTGAATTTGGCAGGAATGAGCCAGAGCTAAATTCAATGAATTTGAGCTGCAATGGACGTATAAGGCTTCTGGATGTGACTCACGAATTACTGCCTGCACACCTTTAAAACTTCCTTTCATCGAAGAAGCTCCATCATATCCTTGTCCGATCAAGTATTCGCAATCTACTCCCAAAGATTTCAATTCAGATAAAATTGCATCAGCTAAATACTTTCCTTTTGTATTCTCAACTGTTACAAAAACTCTCCTGATGAGCAACAAATTTAAAACGCTTTTTATTCTCAGGAAAACCAGTATCAAGATAGATAGCAACATCGAGGAAAAAGAAAAAAAAATTAAAAATCGACCGATCGGTTTCAACTATTTCGTTGCTGGTACTCAAGGTGTATTCAAGTTTACTCTTGGTTGGCAACAAATTTAGAACATCTTTAATTACAGGAAAAACCAGTTTCAAGATAGCAAGGTCATAAAAAATAAAAAAAATATTCAAAAATTTTTCATTATATCCAAGGTTCAGCAACTAAATATTCTGTAGCGATCAAAGGGAAAGTATATAATTTATTGCTACCTTTATATCACGATAGTATTATTTGCGATTTCTAGTGATCGGCACGAGAAACAAAATCGTTGTTTTGGCAACTAATTACCTACAAATTGATGTATTTTTTGCAATTTTGCTGGATTCACCATGCTAGCCTGGTAGGGCTACTTTCTTAGTTATCTCCTGATGATGCCAACGTGGTTCTAGTACTTTTGTGGAAGAACTGTTTACAATGAAATCGTTATCAATGATAATAATCAGTTATTACTTCACTTTCACCTAATATATAGTGTTGCTTGTCCACAGCAAATTGATGAGCCAATTTAATACTTCGGCAAGTTTAGTGAAATTAACCAGTGGATACGTCTTTCTCTGAACATTATTATGAAAAATACAAGTTCAACATTACATCATGATCAAAGGCAATAGCATATTTTAATTTCACTTAGAATTGATTCTTTATTTTGAGTAAACGTAAAGTGTATACGGTTCAATAAAAGCTAGTTTTTGAAACAATTCCTCATCCATATTTTATGCTCTATTCGTTTTTATTTCCATAGCTGTGAAAAACTATTATCCCATGATCATCATGTATATCCTCATCTGTTACCAAATACGTTTATATATTTTTTTCAATTACCTGCATCTGTGGCGACATCTGGATCCTGCCCAACATTTAGTAGAACTTCGGCTAGTTCAATGTCATCATGAATAACAGCAAGGTGAATCAACTTTTCGTTGATTTTATTCGAGTTGTTCACTATAGCATGTTGAGTTATCAAATATTTCGTGATTTGTTTTCTTTCCCCTCTCACCGCTTTGAATAGGGGAGTTTCTCCGTAAAAATCAACTGCGTTTAGTTTGGCGTTGTTTTCTAGCAATAGTTTGACTATGTTGAGGTGACCATTTACGCATGCAAGATGTAAAGGAGTCTCCCCCTTATCATTCAAAATGTTTGTGTAGGCGGAAAGTGATATTAGCTTGCAAGTTGTTTCTTCATTTCCTGTGGAGTAAAATAAGCTGATGTTTTCACATTATAGTATGGGTTGTTGCTAGTGATAGTTTCGGAACTTCAAATAGGTCTGAATCAGATTCGAAAATATAAAACTGAGATTCTAGAGATTTCGTCTTCAATGAACGTTATTACATAAAAACTCTCAGCTGTTTTATACCGAGTGTCAATTCGAAAATCATTTTCTTAAGGCAAATTATATGAAAACATAACTTTTGATGGAAAATCTTTCAAATAATATTTGGGGTTCATTCTGTACCAGATGTAAATGTTTTTCTCAAAATTCTCAGTACTTTGATACTTTTTTATACAGCATTTTCCAAAAAATCGTGTATGAAAATAATAATAAGAACGTGACTGCTTTGAAAGTAATGATAATCAAATTATTATTTGAAAATTTATAAAGTTACATGGCATTTCTCCATCCCAAAGACATAGATATTGTTATTTTAATAATGATCTAGGTACAAAATTGAGGGAGTTAAGAATCAACTTAGTTTGAAGCATTTAACGTTGAATAACGGAAAAACCATGGATTTTCTGAAAGAATAACTTTTGTAGAACATGGAAAGTCCGTGAAAATGGGTTTTATGAGAAAACTATTGTTATGGAACTAATTGACTGACGAAAGAACATTAGACAACCCAAATAATTGAAAAAAAAAGAGATGAACCCCCAATAATTCACATCACAATCGATTTCGATGATAATTTTTCAACAAATTACCTCATCTCATGCAATCTTGAAGTTTGGTTGGATCAGAATACACATTTTCGAAAACAATATAATGAAAATAAAAATTTTACTTTTGGAAATTCTTGAAAGAACCTTTTTTCGAAATCACTCTAAAGCTAAAAGAAATGAGTTGGGAACAAAAAAGACATCGCTAATGTGAATGACATGTAATGGTTAAGAATGACCTCAAACAAACATAACCTCACTTCGAATTCATTAGAAATTTACCGCTATATAGGTTCATGTAAAGATTACTAATCAATTGTTATTTAAGTATGTTTTTGCATTTGCAAATAGATAAATAAATGGAATTAAAGATCATTTCAATCACACAACGAGATTGTTTAAATCAACTAATAATATTTGAATAATTGATAGCAAAAGAATACCAGCTATTTGAAGGTGATTCACAAATCTAATCATTTTGAAATATTGAAATTATATTGAAAATAAACATAGACCAAACAATTCGACAGTGATAACAGCTCTGATGATGTAAAGTATCGGTATGAATGCAATTCTCATATTATAGTGTTTTTGCAATATTGTTTGTTTCTCATAATTTTTGGTATTAGAATGATTCTCAAGAAGTGACAAGCTGAAATTCATGATAAATCATGTTTGAAAACACGAAGAAAACTATTTTTATTAATACAATTGAATGAAATGTGAATCCATAAAATGCCTAAACCTGCACTTTTCCACAAAATGGTAGTTTCAACCGTTTGAAGACAACGAACATGAAGTGGGCATATGTGAATTTAGAAATTTATAAATTTCCAATTTATACGAAAATCGACGACGAGGTTAAAGAAATACGTAGAAACGACAGATCTTATATGTTCACCTAAATTCCTGATTGATTTCTGTGACTAAATCTGTATCTCATTTCACGAAAAACAGTTCTTTGAATATTTACCAGAAAGAGGAGACCTATTCAAAACTAGAACAGCTCAATAAAAACCTATCTGGAAGAATATCCCTCGGGTTTTTTGTATTCAACAGCAAATGTATGGATCTACTGAAAGCTGAAAAGGGCTCGAACATCTCTGAGAGAATTACCTGACGCAGCAATGTAATGCAATAATGTATTTCCAGTGCGATCCTGAGTGTCTACACTGAAATCATATATTTCCAGATTATCCAGGGCAATGTTCAACACAGACAAGCATCCGTTTTGCGCCACTTCGAATAAATCAAAGTCCATAAACGAAAATTCTTCATCCATAGTGATTAAAACATCACTCAACTCGACGGTTAATGATTTGCGAAGATTTGTTTCAATTTTGAATCTAGACTAGCTACACATTGTATCAGTTTTTGTTATCTCGGCTATCAGGCGTAGATAAAAAGATCCTTTTTATTGTTTTGGCCCGAAATAAACAACTCAACAACAATTATGCTCAGATATGATGTTGAAACCGAGTCAATACCGTATGAAAATGAAATGCGATATTTATCTACTTGATGCTCGTAGATATTATCTGAATATTTTATGGATGAGAAAAAATGTCCATGAATCTATGTCTGAATATGCTTCGTTCCTGATTCATCAAGGTGGTAAAATATCAGCTCGACCAGTTTAGGTAGACTCACTTATATTCAGTTATACACGCTATCTTCATGAATGCTCAGAATCAATTTACTGATATACAGGGTGTTTCAAATTTGATCTCGGAAATTATGAGAGATACGAAGATGGTTAAATTGGGAAAAAGTTGAGCATTTACCTGACTAACAATATGTAGCTGAGGAAGTTCTGAATTTCCTATTATATCCGGAGATATTCGGAAAAAACTGAAATTTCGGAAAATGGTTTTTATTTTTTCTGGCTTTCGAAAGTGAATTGCACTTCCACATTGCCACTTTCCCTGCTACATAATAATGTTTTCAGATTTGCTATCCGACATTTCATCTTCCGGTCACCATCATCAACTTTATTTTTTCTTATTGGCGCTACATTCTTTCTGTTTTGAATAGAATCGGAATTTACCTTTCCAATGATGTGTCATAAGGTATCATTTTTTTTTCGAAAAATTGGAGATATTAAAAAAAATTAATTCTTATCATGATAGGCTTTGACTTTGATGTTTCTAAATTTGACTTTCAATTTGTTACACTCAATGACATTTTGTTACAGTACAAGCCAATGAATTTTTGGCGAAAAATGGCTTCCACGAATGAAGAAAAAAGAGATATGATACACATTTATCACAATTACGATAGAAACAGTGTTAAGACATCGGAAATGTATTTAAACTTGTATCCCGAAAGACGACAACCACATCGAACTATGTTCAAGTTATTAGATCAAAATCTCACCGAGTTTGGTTCGTTCGAAAAGCCAATGAAAAAATACGGAAACATAATCAACAATAAAAATTTGATAAATGAGGTGTGTACGAGGTAAATTAGGCATTGCGTCCTTTTCAATGAAAATAAAACTTTGAGCAAATAACAATAATCAACTAAAATGCGAAGATAAAAGTAAAACACAGCAAATGCTCAAAATGCTAGCCTTCAACTTAATTGTGTCCATCTTCGAATATTATTCACTGCACGATTACTTTCCCTCATCCTCAATATTCCAAAATCTCTAACAATGCTGTGTTGAAAGTCCTCAATATCTTCTATCTGACCATAAACTCTATTTTTCAGTGTACCCCATAAGAATGTATCCATAACACTTGGTCTGGAGACCTTGCGAGCCACCTCACCAACCCATTATTCTCTATTCATTTATCACCAAACCTTTCACTCAGGTAACTAGATATTCATCTGGTAGTGTGCGGTGGATCACCATCATGTTGAAACCAGATGCTGTTATAGTTAGCCAAAGGTAGTCCATCCAAAATAAAATAGTCTTAAAAAATCGACATAAAAAACCATTCAGGATTCCGTCAAATAAACGAGGACCCAAGATTGTATCTTTGTAAATTCCTGCCCATACGGTAATATTAAATCCCATTTGAGGTCGAATTTCTCGAAACCGCCTAGGGTTGTTTATACTCCAAATGTGTTTGTTATTTTGGTTGAATATCTCACAATTCGTGAAAGTGCTTACAAATTACATTTTCTAGGAAAACCGGTAAATCAGGTCTTCTTATTAGCCAATTACCAAATTCAAATCGCCTTTCGAGACCACGTGGATGCAATTTTTGAGATATGTGTATTTTGTAACATTTTAAACCGCTTTTCTGAGATGTCTCCAAGCACTTGTATGACGAATATTCATTTCGGAGGAAATTTGACGTGTAGATTTCCCCGGGATCATGTTCATCTGCCAATTATTAGTTTTTATTGAAAAGAACAATATCTAACTAACTTCATACATACCTCATTCATCAATTTTTTTTTAGTTTCCTGGTCCATTCTGTCTCCGTATTTTTTTCTCGGTTTTTGAATGAACCAAACTTCGTGATATTTTGATCCGTTAACTTGAGCATAGATCGATGTGGTTATCGTCTTTCGAGATACTTACAAGTTCAAATACATTTCCGATGTCCTAACACTGTTTCAATCGTATTTGTAATAAATTTGTATCATATAACTCTTTTCTTCATTCGTGAAAGTCATTTTTCGAAAAAAAATTCATGACTTGTAGTAACAAAATATCATTGAGTGTAACAAATTGAAAGTCAAATTTAGTAACTTTAAAGTCAAAGCCTATTATGATAAGAATACATTTTTCTCAATATCTCCAATTTTTAGAAAAAGAATGATAATTTATGATACATCATTGAAAAGGTAAAATCTGGTTCTGTTCAAAACAGAAAGAATCCAATGTAGCACCCCTAAGAAAAAATAAAGTTGATAATGGCAGGAAGACGACACGTCGGATAGCAAATCTGAAAACATCATCATGTAGCAGGCAAAAGTGGCAATTAAAAGTGTAATTTATTTTCGAACCCTTCGAAAAATAACCCCGGAAAAAAATAAAAACTATGTTTCGAAATTTCTGTTTCTTCCTGATACCTCTGGATATACTCGGAATTTCAATTTATTGATAAACCCAATACATTCATCGTAAACCAATACTTTATTCACAATAATTTTCGAAAACTAATGATGATTCCCAAAAAATAACTGTGGCCATGACTGTCTACCTCCCCGACCTATCCGGATGTTCTCGCATTACGAACCTGGAGTAGACTGATGCACCATCATGCAACAACTACATTTCATTTCATAAATTTAGTGGAACATCTTCAAACTAAAAATGACGTTTTTATGTTCAACCTGGAAACACGCGTGACCATATAGACGACCGGGTGACAAAAAACAACCAGTCTCAGTTGAGTTAGATCACTTCAACACCGTTGTTTCAGCACCAATAATTTTTTTATGACAATATTTCTGGAATAGGAACCTGATTATCGATGTGTTTTGAACAATATGTATAATATTTATTTGAAAGAAATACGTGGTTTTGAAATAATTTTTCTTAATTGAATAGTATACGTGCAATACATCTGTAAAATAAAGTGGATTTTAATAGATATATTGATGGTAGAACTCAAACATCTCAGACAGTCCGTTGGCAACAGCGGATGAGAGCTGAAGTGTCCGAGAGTTACGCTAGTTGCACACACACCGATTTTGGACGGCCAGTATAAAATCGGCCGATATTTTATTGGTAGCGGGTGCTTGCACACACACCGGATTCTTATCGGTCAAACAATCAGTTGCTTTGTTGTCGTAATTAGCACGCACTACCAAAACGAAGTTAATGCGTAGTAACTACAATTTCACCGAGCATTCGAGATTGGAATGGTCGGTAAAAAACCGGTGAGTATGCAAGAGTGTATTTAGTCATGTACGCCACTACTTCCCGGTACTGCCGGTGATACAGTGGCAGTGGACGGCTGCTCACCGGTATTTTACCGGCGAGGATCACCGGTCGGCGTGTGTGCAAGGTCCCATTCCCACATGTGGTTCACTATTGGAATTTGGACGACCGGTACAAAATCGGCCGTCCAAAATCGGTGTGTGTACAACTAGCGTTACGCTAGTGTTCATTTTCGTTGCGTTTTTGGCGCTCAAAGCTTGTTTCTGGTATCCAAAAGTCAGTTTTCGTGTCACGGCAGTATGGAGGAACTGCTATGCAGCCTGGCTGGAAAGGAAGAGGGCGAAATTATTGGCTTCATAAGCCAATTAATATGTGCCCTGGGCCTGACTCAGTCAGATTTGCTTGGCAAAACATTGCCAAACCCTGGGGATGACTGTCACTCGCTGACAGCTCGTGACCAGGTTAATGTTCCGCCTGTCCGTGACCGTTCCTCAGAACAAGAGTCTAGCGATGAACATCCAAGAAGAGGAGATTCAATGATAGATTTCCTCCTTTGCCCGATGTCTCCAAACGCCGTATCGACGAATGGATTCGGGTAACCAACGAAAAGCCAGCCAACAAACCCAAGACAAAAAGTTGAGGAAAAACGCTCGGAAGTTTCATTGCGAGTCAGAAGCCTCTTCTCCACCAGTGGCCCAAAATCAGGCCAAAGAGGCGGCCACATCTGATGAAAATTCAAACGATGTGGAAATGGACAATGCAAAGACATCAAATGACAGTGCTTCTGACAAATCCGTAGGCATTGTCAAATCATTTCAATCAGTTCATGACGAGGAGTACACCCCCCCCTACCCCTCTGAAACAAAACATAAATCCTACGGCCATAAAGGTCAGAATTCCACCCATAGTTGTCCATCAGAAGGACAAATGGGTGCCACTGATAAAATTGACGGCTCAAGAGAACATTAAGTTCTCAAAAGCCGTCAATTTACATGACGGGATAAAAGTTCAGCCGGAGTCTCCTGACGACTATCGTCGACTGGCAAGACTCTTGGTGAAGGAGAAAATCCCTCACCATACCTATTCGCTCCCTGAAGAACGGCAAATTCGTGCCGTATTCAGGGGAGTGCCAGAGAAATTGACAGTCAACGATATTCGTGAGGAGCTCAAAGCCAAGGGTTTTGACCTCAGTAGCGTCACGCGCATGAAGCGCACTGGCAAACCGATGCCTCTGATCCTTGTTTTGGTAAACAGGGACCAGAAGAATTTATTTCAGGTCAAAGACCTCTTGAGTATGAAGGTTCAGGTTGAACCCCAACACCCTGACCCAGTGGGTCAGTGCCACCGATGCCAACGTAACGGCCACTGTCAGCGCAAATGCCTGGCAGTGCCTATTTGCGTTAAATGCGCTGGCAGGCACTTGACGAACGCCTACAAAAAGGCCAGGACTGACCCCCCAAAGTGCAATAATTGCAAAGCGGTCCACACCGCCAATTACCGTGGCTGCCCTGCGTACCCCAAGGTACATTGCAAAGGGCAGCCAAT